AGAGAGAGAGAGAGAGAGAGACAGAGAGAGACAGAGAGAGACAGAGAGAGACAGAGAGACAGAGAGAGAGAATCTCCACTCTGCTTTTTTTTTTAAATGTTATCTACTCACATAAGAGGAGCAGAAGCCTTTTTACATGAGAGAGCCAGACACCAGACACCACTGAGACTGGGGGGTGAGGGTCCCAGGCCCAGGCTGGGCTCTCTCCACAGACAAGGGTTGGCCAGAGGCTGAGCAGGGCTTGCCTGGTAAAAGGGCCTGGCTGTTTCCAGAAGCACCTTGGGGCTCAGGCCTCAGGGTTTCTTTTATACCTCAGAAATGGTATTGGGGTAAGTGCCTCTCAGACACTGGAGTGGAGGCTACAGGCTGGAGGCGGCAGCAGGAGCCCCTCTCCCAGCTGCCTGTCCCAGGCCACAGAACGCCCTGGCCTTTCCTGCCCAGGCAGCTTGGCTCCCAGAAGGGAGCACTAGGCTCCAAACTGCCCCAGTGTCCCTCAGGGCTCAGCTCCATGCTGCCCTTCTGCCCAGGTCGGTCTGCCTCAGAGCCAGTGGTGAGGCCTGGCCCTGGGGGACATTGCTGGGTGGTGAGGCTCCCTTGCCAGTTGTTCCTGGCGCTGGGTCTGTGTGGTCAAGATCCGGAGCTATCTGACTGCCCATGAGCCTGCCAGGGACACCTCAGGCTATCCACAGGCAGAGTGGTGGCCTTGGAAGGCTTTACTCTCAAATACATAGGCTTCAGAAGGTCCGTTACTTTTGTCAACAGTCACCAGTTCTTCCCAGTAAGCTGGCAAGGAAGAAGAGGCTGTGGCTGTCTATTTTTACAGGCGTGAAAACAGTCTACCTTGACCTATTTTTAAATCACCCTAAACCTGTTTTCAATAAGTTCACTGACTGGCTTTTGGCAGGGCTAGTCCCTGTCCCCTTCGGGGCTCTGCCCTGCTCAAGGTTGGAGGGGTCCAGGAGACCCCTTGGGGCACTGCATACCTCTCTCGTGCATATGCAGCGCTTTGGTGCTCAGGCCCAGCCCTGCTGAGGCCCAGCTGGTCCTGCGGTCCTGTCTGGCTCCACTTCTGCAGCCCGGCCCACTCCAGGTTGTGTCACACCCAGCCAGCTCTCTTCTTCCCTACATCCATGGCATATCACCCCAGAGCACGGACAACACTGGGGGGAGCCGGCGAGCCAGTCGGAAGCCACCCCTCCACTAGCTGCGATGCTCTTGAAACTTCTGGAGAACAATGGCGTACGACACACGCAATGCCCCTTGCCAGCCCAGCACCCCCCAGAAGCTGAAGGCCCAGGAAATCCTGCATGAAGACACCTGTTTGCCCTTTGGGCAGCCAGATTCTTGGATATTAGAGTCTTTTTGGCCCAGGAACTGAATGATGTGCCTTGGAATGAGCATTTTCTAGAACCCTACCAGGACCCCTCCTGCCTCCTGACCTCCGTGTGTGTCCCCCTCCAGCCCAGCAGCTGGGCCCAGCTGTGCGACGGCAGGGGGTGGGGGTGGGAAGGGGGCTGGCTTGGGCCAAGCTGAGACACGGCATCACGGTCCCTGTGCTGACCTTTGCACGTCTTCCCATCTGGCTGCAGTGTGAATCCGATGGGGCAGCTGCATCGCACGCCAGTGGCAGTGTCCTTGCACGTCCGGTCACAGCCTCCGTTATTTACCGCACATGTCTCTGGAGAGGGAAAGAGACAGGCGCTCAGCCTCCCGGGGCAGAAGCCACCATCTTTCGCCATCCGTGGGGAGACGGCCTAGGAGACGGAGACCTGGTGCCCGCTCTGGCTCTGACAGTCCTGCTGTGGGACTCCAGGGATGCTGCGCAGCCCGAGTCTCAGGAGCACTGTGAGCAGAGGTCATGCCACAGGTCACGATCACTGCTGGGGGCCAGTGCTGAGGGGCTGCCTAAATGCCCGGGCCCTGGGCGTCCTGCCTGGGCTCCAGCTCCAAGAGTACTAGGTAGTCATGGGTGGCAGCAGGGGCTCCTGCTTCATCCTGCCACAGAGTGGCTCTGGGCCCTGGCAGCCTGCAGAGCTGGGGTCCCTGGGGCTGCACTTCCTTCTCTGTCATGCGAGGCTCTTAGCCTCACATCTGTTCTCGCTGAACCATGCACCAGCGGTGTCTGGTTTTTGTCTGCTTGAAGGCTTCTAGTGCTTTCTTCCCCTTGTGCAGAATTCAAAGGGGCCGAGCGGTTGGGGGGGCACAAACCAGGTCTCCACAGCCGTTGCTCAGGGCCGGTGATGCTCCGCAGGCCTGCAGAGGGCTGGCGAGGTGGCCCAGGGGAAGCTGCTGCCCCGGCCCTGCTCCTCACCATCTGGGTTTCTGCCTGAGCACCTGGTGGGCAAACACTGCCTGGCCAGGGGTCCCCAGCTTCACTGCTGAGAAGCAAAAGGTGCCAAGTGCCCACTTCTCACACCAGAGCTCCCTGCCTCTCTGCCTGCTGCTCCCGGTGCCTGCTTTTTTTCCCTGCTATCGGCCCACTCAGGACGCCTTCCTGGAGTTCAGGAAGGAGGGGATTCTCAGGGGCTGGCAAATAGATCAAACCCACGATCAAACTCACAGGGCCTTTCCTTTGAACTTCACTTCGGAGGAGGAGTGCAGGAGGGGGGAAGACCCACCTCCCTCTGCGATGGCTGCCATCTCGGGCAGAGCTGGGATGGCCCTTAAAGGTGACCCCTTCACCCTGACCCTCCCATCTGGCTCTCAGCCTCCACACAGATCAGGGCTCCAGCTGGGGGTGGGTGGCCGTGGGCCTCGGCAGCTGGGCCGTCCGCCCGGCTCTCACCCTCCTGTCTCCCTGCGAAGGCCTCCCTGGAGCTGTCTCCCACTCTGCACCTGGGAAGGGAGGACAAGCCTTTCTTCCTGGGCCAAGGTGAAGGTCACACAACCCCACTTGAAAGCACAAAGCACCAGGCCAGGTGCTGGGGGTCCTGCTGGCCAAATGTTGCCTTATGCTCCCGGATGGGGAGATCCTGCCTCGCAGCCCAAGCATGGGCTATGAGCTAGCTCCCAAGAGCCCTTTCAGGCTTTCTTGTGGGAGGGGGAAGAGACCCGCCCCTGGCCAGGTGTGGGGGTTGTGGCTTTGGGGCAGGATGGGGGTGGGGGTCAGTAGGGATGGTCACCCCCTTTCTGAATCTCATTATTGGCTCTATCCTGCCCTGGGGAGTTTTAAGGCTCCCTGTGCCGCCCCAGCTAGGGGTTGGAGCGAGAGCTTCTGCACCCAGCAGGGCTCTGTGGGCTGGTCCTGGCTGGTGACCTTGCCCCACAGCACATCACAGCAGTCAACACATACAGCAATGGTCACCTATGTCCCTCCCATGTCCCATGTCCCTGCCTCACAGTGCCTGGACCCTCAGCTGCCTGACAAGGACCCGAGGGTGCAGGTGGTTGCAGCACTGGAGGGACGTGCTGGGTCTGACCCTAATTCCTCAGCTCCCTGAGGACAGGGACAACCTTACAACAACCTTCAACTTCAGTCTCCAGCCAGCCCCAGTTCCAGAGCACCACGCAGCCACATCAGGGCCCACTGGCTGTCACTGCGCCCACAGCCCTGAATCCCGGGGCCCCTCACCCCCTCTGCAGGGACTGTCCTGCTGCCTCCTTACTTAACGTGGTCCGACTTCAGCTTCCGCTCTTACGGCTTCCTAGGCATCCCTTCTCTGGCCACTGCCCCACGCTGGGTGGCTGAGTGTCTTTGGGTTCCCTACGGCTGCTCATGCTGGGCCTGGTGTTGGGCAGGGAGGTGTGGGTAGAGGGTGTGGTGGGCACCTGGCCTGTCCTTAGTCTTCTTGCTGGACCCTGGCAGGCCTCTCCTCTACCAGGCCAGCGGGGAGGGTGCTTCCTGCAGAGCCCACCTGAGTTGTGTTGGTCCCAGGGTGGCAGACAAGTAGCCTAAAACACAACTAACGATGTTGCTTTGCTCTACCTGGGGCCTCTGCACTCACAGGACAGGTAGTGGTGGTGGGAGGGGTTGCTGCTGCTGCTGCTGCTGAGGGGGCCTTTGCCTTTGGGGCCCATCAGTGCAGGACACTGCCCAACTCCCATCTCTGAAGGCCTCAGAAAGCAGCCTCATCTGACCCCAAGACCAGCAGTCACCCAGTCTGGTGGTCAGGGCACCCCTTGCAGAGACAGTCACGGAGCAGCCCTGGGCTCCTGGGCAGTGGTGTTTCAATTTTGGGTCACCTGCAAGGAGGAGAGGGGGCTGGACCCTACAGGGGTCCTCTCTTCATGCAGCGGCCTCCTCTCCCCATTGCAGGGCCAAGAGCAGGCTGGGGCTGGGAGCTCAAGGTCTCTCCCAGAGCATCTGGTCTCCTGCATTGACGTGTGGCCAACACCGGTCCACACTTGGGTCCAGGGGCCAGAACTGTGGCCTGGAGGCTACAAAGGGGAACGGGGCAGAGCCAGACCCGAGGCTTCTTTTGTGCTCTGAAAGCCTCACTTCTCTTTTTGCACCCCACCTCAAGGTAAAAGCTCCCTGTGCTCTTCCTAAAAGCTTTCCGCTCCTCCTGCAACATGGCCTGCCCCGTTGGTGAAGCACCATCTCACACCTCAGTGGCCTCTCAGCAGGCCACAGGGTCACTTCTGCAGGAGGGACCTGGGCTCACAGAAGTGGGATAAATGGCCTGCACCCAGCAAGGCTCTGTGGGCTGGTCTTGGCTGGTGACCTTGCCAGACAGGCAGCATGAGCAAGCTGGTGGATGAGGCCCTACAAGGTAAAACCCAAGAGCCTGTCTTCAAAAATTATTTAGGATTTCAAGACAGGGACAGCAGAGTGTTAAACAGCCCCGGGCCCAGTGGGGTTGGGGACCCGGTGACTGCGCAGTGTGAACACTGGAGAAGTGGCCAGTGTCCTGCTATGGAAGGGCTGGCTTGAGGCTGTATGGGCTGACCAGTGAACTGGACCAGGCTGGAAGAGGGCTTGGGCTTGGGGTAAGGGAAAGTCCCAGACCAGGAAGCTTGCCATTCCCCATGTACCCAGACCAGGGCAGCGACAGGGGGCTGCCTACTAGCAGCCCCTCAAATGGGCACTGCCTCTGGGTACCACCTGGGCTCCAGTGGCGCCCTTAGTCACTGTGTAGATAACATGAGCTGTGGGTCAGGTAAACGGGCTCCAAGCACTGGCTGTGTATATCCAGGCAAGTGCCCTTACTTCCTGGGGTCGTAATGGGTCACACGGGGGTGACAATGTGCGGCAACCCCCTGCCTGCATGGCTCTAAAGTGAAACAGGTGTGACTATAAGCTGGTGTGACCAAAACCCTAGGCTCACCCTCAGTTGTTTCTTAGAACTCTTGGACATGGTCTTAGCACCCAAAATTCAATGCTAATTCACTTGGCAATCCTATGGGATGCTGGGACCCAGGCCTCTGACCCCTGGGGTGGAAGTCTGCCTTCCTGTGGCCATCTGCTCCTTACCCCCTCCCCAGCAGAGTGGAGTCAGGGACCACTTTGTCCTTCAGGGGCCCAGAGAGTGGGGGTGGCTATGTGAGGTGCTCAATAACAGAATTACTGAGCAGGGACCCAGGAGGACTGACAAAGACGTGGGCCCTGAGTCCTTGCCCTGCATCCATCTGTCTGGTGAGACTGCAGGGTGAGGGGCTCAGCAGCTGAGTGGGGAGGGGCTGCAGTTGCCCTGCAAGAGCACTACACCCCCTGAAACAAGAACCAGCTGTGGCCTAGTCCAGAGAGCCAAGGTATACTCCAAGGAGCAGGGGCCTCAGGAAAGGACTGTCCTGCCCGGCCTTGGGCTTCCCCACCCACAGCGTGCCTGGGCCTCCCTGGTGTGCCAGGAGAGCTGGGTCCTGGTGGACCTCGTGCCCTGCACTTGCTCTGCCCTGCATGCTGCACCTGAAGGCCCAGCTCAGGGCTGGCACCTGCCACCTGCCCTTGAGCCAGGGGAGGTGGCTGAGAGGGGTGACCACTGACCCTGCACCCCCCTGCTGACTGCTGCCCCTTCTCTGGCTTCCAGTGTTGGGACACAGGCCACTCTGCCTGGCATGGCCCTTACGTGGTGGTTCTGGTCTCCTCTTCCCCTGAACGCCAGCCTGGCCATTAGTATTGGGTGTAGGACACACTGTCCAGGGAGAGCAGTAGAGGGCGACCTGACCCACCCACCAAGTGCCCGCTGCCTGGTCCTAACCATGCCGCTGCTGGTCCTGCTGGCCCTAGCTGGGTGAATGCAGACTCCCGGGCCCCAGCTGCCAGATGCAGGAGGCTGTGAAGGACAGGGTTCCTTTGCCACGCTGCTTGAAGACCACCCCGGTGCTTCGTGGACTCTGCTTTGCCACCCCAAGACCACCCTGCTCACATTTCTCTGTGAAAGAAAATGTAAATGTTGGTTGCAGGCCTGTGAGTGCCAAGTGCTGCCTGAAGGGCCACCTGGACCTGGGGGACCACGTCTCACACATCTGGGCCATCTGAGGGGAGGGGGGAGGGGCGCAGACCAACCTCAGGAGAGGTTTGGTTTGCAGGTCTCTGTAGGACAGCAGAGCTTTTACATCAGAGCAGGTGGCAGGAGCAGGGCCACCAGTGCATGACTTCCTGCCCGATTCCAGTCCCTACTGGCATGAAGGTGCGCAGGCAGACAAGTAGCCTCCCCTTGAGCCAACCCTCAGTAGGGAGCTGGGGTGCGGCTGTCACGCATGTGCTACAGAGGCTCAGGACAGAGACAGTGAGGCTGCACAGCTGGCCAACAACTGGCCAGTGCAATCCCCCGGTGCTGAGCTGCCCCTCCAGCCTGTGGACCTGCGAGCCGGGGTCAGATCTTTCTGTGCAGAACCCCCACCAACGTTAGCTAGAGCCCACCGAGTATGCCCACAGCAGGTGCCGACTGCCTGCCCGGGAGGGTATGGGTTGGCAACTCCAGGGCTGGCTCTTGGCTTAGCCTGCTGCTGGCTGACCATGTGGCCTCTGTGAAGGGAGCATAGCTGCCTCTCAGGGCTGGGGGCACTCTGGGGGGATGTCCTGGGCCCCACCCAGGGAGGCAGTATACTGCTGAAGTGAGAACTGGGCTGAGAACGGCTGGAGACATCATGGGCCCAGGAAAGCAGGAAGCCCACCCTGGCCAGCGTGGTCCATCTGCTCAGACCCGTGTGGGCCGGAGGATGCATGGGCCCGGGGCTAGGTCAGCAAAGCGAGCTGGAGGGTGGGCTCTGCCTTAAGGCCCCTCCTTACTCTGGTCAAACTGTGTACTCCAGGTCCAACAATGAATCCTTAAACTGTCCCCATCCTAATCCCCGAAAGGGTTTCAGATAGGATAAGGGCCTTGGGCTGCAATCTGCCCCGTGGACATCACATTGGTCCTTAAAAGTGAGAGGGAGGCGGGGACCTGAAGGAAGGGGCTGTAGGCCATGTAATGGGGTGGCTGCCAATAGTAGGAAACAGCCAGGCAAGGGCCTGATCCCGAGAGCCCGGGAGGGGGGGCTGGCCTGAGAACATTGGGGTGTCAGCCGGGGCCGGGGGAGGCCCTGTGTCACATTTGTGAGCTGCCACCTATGAGTCGGGCTGCTTTAAGTCATGGGAACAGCGAGACTGTTTATGGCAGCGACAGGAAAGGAACATATGCACAGCACCTAAGGTGCTCTCGGGGGAGGAACCTGATGAGACTGGGCTGGCGAGTGTCACTCAGCCACTCCCCAGGCCTGCTGCAGGGGCCCTGGGCCTGCGGGGACCTGATCTACACCCTTAGGTGGGCTCCTGGCTGCTGTTCTGCACAGGAGATGTGTGAGCCGAATGAATCCATCTCCTGAACTTCCTGATCCAAAGCTTCTCGCCACGTGCTCGGGCTTTACTGCCGGCCCCACGCCGGGGCCTCTTACCTCCCTGTCACCTGCGTTTGGTGATGGGGAGGTTACTGTGATGAGTGATGGCTCCACCTGGTGCCCCTTGGCTCTCGGGACGGTTCCTCTTCCTGTTCCCCTCTAGATGGCAAGGACAGTGTCTACCACTAGAGCTGCCAGGCCGAAGCTACCTACTCTGGGGACACTCTGTGCCTTCCAGCAGGGCACCAGAAGCAGCCGGGGCCTCCCCCTGTGAGGCTTCAGGCTTTAGTTAAGGCTGGGTCTGGCTCACTGCTGGTCTCTAAACTTGGGTCCCCTCAAGTCACAATGCCACAGGGGCAGGAAGAGCAGGCAGGAGGCTCAGACATGGCTGAGTGCCCCAGCTTTTGCACAGCTGTGCGCATCTTCTGCCCATGCTGTCTTGGCTCTTGGCCGGTTTAGGGGTGGGCAGCTGCTTAAGTGGCTTGCAGGTCTCTCAGGGCTGTGACCTCTGTAGTCTGGGCACAAAGCATTTCCAGAAGAGGTCCAGGCTTGGCTCAGAGCTGCCACCCTGAAGCCCTGATGTTTCAGGGTCCCCTGGGGTGGGCATGTGGGTGGCCCTGGACTTCATGGAGAGTGGTTTCATGCTGGGCCTGCAGGACAAGTCTCTCCCTATGTGTGACCCCATGGAGAGTGCAGGGCGGGGTGGGCGCCCACAGAGGTCAGAATCCTGTCCCTGCCTGAGCTTCCTCCTCTGCTTACCTCCTGTCCAGGCTGAAAACCACCCCATCGCTGTAGGGGACTCAGCAGTTGCCACCGATCTCTACCCCAGGTCCTCAGCTCAGTCCTCCTGGAAGGGGTCATGGGTATAACCTGGACCCAGAGTCCATCCTCAATTTTCAGGTCTCTTTCAGTCTGCCCATCTCTCTCCTACCACAGGACCCAAATGGGGCACAGCTGCCTGCCAGGCCCAGGGTCTCCCAGAGTGATCAGCCGCTGCTGCCTGTCTCACCCCATTCTGATCCCTTCGCTGTCTCCGCAGCTCTCCACGTGGGCCTGGCCCTGAGCCTGATGCTCACCTGCTCTGAGCAGCACAGGGCAGGACAGGGGTGGTCACCTCCCCCCTCCATTGCTTGCCCCTATAAACACAGCAGGGATGGGGAGTAGTCAAGCCTTACCTGGGCCTATCAGGGAGGGCCTGAGTCTACTTCTTACCACAGCAGCCATGGAGGACAGGTACAAAGAACTGAGCTCCTGAGTTGGGGGCTCCCTGGGGACCCCAAGTCCAGCTGCTCTGGTTGCTCCAAGGCTGTGTGCCTGGCCTGGGGTCAGAACTAGGCTGCTGGCCCCAAGAGCTGCAGGGAGGCCCATGAGAGATGGAGCAGGATAGGAGGCAGGGATGAAGGGGAAGCCAGCCACTGTCCATCCCCCCAGTACCCTGTCGATACATGTGGCACAGCCCCCGGTGTGCACGGGTGCTGGTCTGCGTGGATGCCCTGCCAGTCCTCTGGAAGGCCCAGGGGGAGGCGGCCCGTGTTCTCTGCTGCTGCCCTTGCTGTCCAGGGTTTCTGGGCCATCACTGCATTCACAGAAAGCAAGGGCAGAGGTCCTGCTCCACCTGCTTAGTGCTTAATCCCCTCTTGGGACAAGAAGCCCCTGCTCCCTGGCCCTATGCCCAGGGTCTGGCTGCAGGGCCCATCACTGCTGCCAAGGGAGGCTGAGAGCCAAGTTGTCTATGATGCTAGCCACCCACCTCCAGCCACCTTTCCAGGATGTCCACAGCACTGGCTCGTGTCTTCCTGCAGGGCTGGGGCCATGCCTGCTTGCTGGGGCCTGGGATGAGCCTTTAAGTCTACCCACTACCACTTCTAATGCACTGTCTGGAGTGTGGGCAGCAGCCTTCACCCACCTCGCCGTGTGCCCAGGTGCAGGCACGCAGAGAACCGGCCTGGGGTCCTCACCTGACCAAGCCCCTCCAGCCAGGCTTCAGCCTTCTCCCCAGCAGGGGGCCACATCCTTCCACGACCCTCTGTTCCCTTTCCTGCTTCCGCTCTGATGCCTGGGCCCTCGGAGGTCCACACAGGGACCAGAAGGCTAGGTGACCTGCCTGGGACCTGCAAGTTGCCACCAACGATGGCCAGCCACATGGCCGAGTTCTTAGGGCTGAGCCCTTCAGAGCGGCATGTGGTCTTGGGCATCCAGGCACCAGGCAGCAGCAGCAGTCCCTTCCTCCGAGAAATGGGGACGATACCATCCAACCGTACAGCTGCCAGGCTGGTACGAGCCGTCAGAGTGCTGCCAAGAAGGCCGTGGGGATGCCCAGAGGCTACCACTGTGCTCAGGAGGCCCTGGCAGCCAGTGCAGCCCGAATCCAGTGACTCCAAGTGACTCTACCACTGTGGAGCCACTGAGGGATGAGGAGGGCCTGGCAGCCCGTTTCCCTGTCTACGCTCTGCCCCGTCCGAGAGCGGACATTCTCCTCTTCCTTCTCCTCCTTCCACCCAGACCTGGGTCAGCCCCAGCTGCGGGCCCTGGCAGTGGCTCCCTGCTGTGGGGGAGACAGAAGGGTGCTCCCCAGAGCCCCTGCCCACCAAGGCCCCTCGGCTTCCAAGTCTCGGAGTGGCTCTGCTGGCCCTGAGGCCTAACTGGCCACCTGGGTGTTTACGGAGGCGGCCTAGGGCACGGGTCTCCTCACAGGCTCAGGCCATAGACTGGGCGCTGCATCTGCGCTACAAACACACAAACACACGCGTTTGACGGAGGTTAAAACTGTAAGAAGGAAAAAGTAAGTTCCCACTGGCAGCGGGGCCCCCCGCACTCTCACACACGTGTGACGGTGCACATGCAGGCACACACCAGACCATCTACACACCCACACACTCATGCCAGCCCACACTCATGCACATGCGTCAGCTACACGCACGCACACGCGCACGCACGCACGCACGCACACAAGGGCAAGAACGACAAAGGAAGTGGAAGAAAAGTGTTACCCATGAGGAGCCGCCGTTTCACCCGCTTGTCCACATCAGCTACTGACGTGGCACTGAACTCAGAGCGCTCAATTGCAGCCTCATCCTTCTCTAAAACACAAGTAAGGGACAAACACGGAGCCGGTGGTTAATGAGAGCCCACTCCCCACGGCCCAAGACAGCCAGCCTCCGGGCGAGGTGCACGGGGCTGCCGCATGCAGGCCAGCGCGGCGTCCTCGCCCAGGCTACTCCCAGGAACCTCCAGGGCACAGCGGAGAGGCAGCGAGGGCGGGGCAGGGCGGGCGTGCAGGAGAGGGGTGGCCACACACAACCTGGGCATGGAGGGACACAGCGCCCCTGCGCAAACAGACAGAAGAGGAGGAGTGGGAGGACTGGGCTGCTGAGGCCGCGGAAGCAGGCAGCACCACGGGTCACAGAGACATGGCCACGGAGCCTGCGGCTCAGGCTGGAGAGGCAGGCACAGGACAAGGCACAGGACAGGGGGACAGGGCCACGAGGTCCGGCGATGGATGTGCCTGGGACAGCAGGTGCCCAATCCCAAGGATGGATGTGACAGTGTGTCGTTCATGCAAAATTAAGAACAAAACACACAGAGGAAGACACACGTGCACATGACAATGGATCCCACTGAACAGACAGAAGAACCAGGGGCCGATTGGGGCAGCGCTGGTTGCCTGCTTGTCTAGAGCACGAAAGCTAAACATTCAGGTGCTCTCGAGGGCATGACAGGAGGGCGCGGGCTGGGCCTGGGCAGCCACCAACTAAGGGTATAAGGCGCTTCTTGCGAGGGAGCTGTGCGGTCAGCTGGGTGCAGCGTCTGCCCAGCCAACAATGTGGATAGACACTGTTTCCCTGGGGACACTGGTGGCAGTGAGCAGAGTCAGAAGAAAGGATTCTTGTCCTGACTGGAAGTGGAAGCCACATGGGCAGGGCTGGGAGGAGAATGGTTTCTGGGAAGAGGAGAGGGAAAGCACAGGCTTGGGAAGTTACTTTAGAAAGCAGACCCAAGCAGGGACTGTCACGTGCAGCAGACGATGAAAAATAAAAAATAAAAAATGAAGGAGGATGAGTCAGGAGGACACAGACATGGGGGGTTAAGACACACGTGGTGGAGGGTTGCGTCGTAAACCCTCGGGTCCAGGAGCAGACGAGACAGAAGGGAGCCAGGTGGTTGGGAGAGGTGGGCAGGACAGTGGAGGGACAAAGGCTGAGGACAGGGGGTTCTAGATGGGATCAGGCTGCAATAGAGACACTGGTCTGAGACCCCGTTTGGCTTTTAATTTTTTTTTTTTTTTTTTTGATTGGTTGGTTGGTTTGGTTTTGGCTTGTGGCTCTGAACATAATTAATGCGTGTCAGTTGTCAGACAAGACAGGCAATCAGGGACCATCACCAGAAAAGCAAGAGGAATGAGATAAAACAAAATAAAAAATGGCTGTCTGAGAGAAGAGACCACACGGAGAAGGGGACAACCACTGCAGGCAGCAGCACCCTGTGACGGCAGCCCCGGACCACGGGGGATGGGGGCTGGCCCTGGCACCCCACTCTCCGAGCCACAAGGGCGCAGTCCCAGGGGCCGGAACGTGACAGCAACTCGGGGCCTCGTGCGCCTGCAGCTGCTCACCAAGCCCTCTCTGTTACACAGAAGTCCTTCAGGAGATGCCTGCTGGTTGACGAGAAGAAATGGGGCCTTTAAAAGGAAACAGCTGTGGTTCCTGACGCACAGGGGACCCCACAGCGCCAGCACTGAAGAGAAACGAGAGGGTCGGCTGGGCACACGCTCTGAAATTCCTCTTTTTCTCAGTTAAAAAAAAAATTGCTGTTGTTTTTTAATGGGAGGAGGAAAAAAAATACTAGGGATTACAGCGTGAAATGATCTTAATGCTTGAAGCTTCCCCTTGGAAATATGGGCCCTGAGAAGGACTCCGCGCAGCAGGTGAGGTGATGGGGGGCCGCTGAGGAGGGACTTCAGGGGGCTAGAAGTCCTTCAGCTCCGCATGAAGCAGCTCAAAGCACCCAGACCGCACCCAGGAAGTGCCACCCGCTGCTCACAGCCTGTTCTGAGGAACCCTGGATGTGCTGGGCAGCCAGGGCACCCACAGAACTCACAGGTGGTGCAGACTGCATGAATCTGGCCGAGTGTTTTCCATGCCAGGAAACACTGGCATGAGTGAGCTTTAGAGTAGACCATGGCGGCTGAGGTCCACGCCTTCCTCCACCCCCAGTCCACCTACCCGCATGGAGGCTGCGGACAGCAGGATCCCCAGAGGGAGCCTGCCACGGGAACCCAGGAGAAGTCTTCACAGGTGCCGCTCACGGGGACACCCGCTAAGGCCATCTCCACTGTGGGGCCTTCCTTGGTTCCCTGCAGCCCCCTTCCAGAAAACAGGGATGGGCAGGAGCTGCCGACGCAGGGCCGCAGGGCGCTGACTCACCGATGCACGTCCGGCCGTCAGAGTGGAGGGCATACTTCTGGTGGCAGCCACACATGGGGCCCGTGTCTGTGTCTTCACAGCTGTGCTGGCAGCCTCCGTTTCCATAGTTACAGGTTACTAGTTAGCCCAAGTGTATGTGTGTACAAACAGAATGACAAGAGCGGTTAGTGCGCTGGAGGTGGCTGTTTTCCTTTGGGGGTGGGGACGGATGGGAAGACCCAGTGACCAGGGATGAGCACAGGAGGTCTGCGGCCGCTGGGTCACCCCAGGCCTCAGACAGAGTGCTCTACACTTCAGGGGTATGGGCTGTCATTGCCCAGGGGCAGTGGATGGGAAAAGGGACACACCTGACAGTTCTACCCTTCCCAGCTTGAAAGACACGTTAGCACTTCTGGCTCAATGGGACAAATGTCTATTAATATGGCCAACAACTTGGAGAGCTGGGGGCATCCGGCCATGGCTCCATGTAACACTCATGTGCACAGTTCTGCCAGACCCCTGGGTGGAGGGCTGTCCCCATGGACTGCCACATCTCTGGGTCCCAGCAGTCAGACACCTCGAGCTCCAGCCCCTCATACCCACTCTCCCAGAGCCCAGAAATGCCCCCACACAAGAATTTAAGCAGCTCCTGTTGCTGGAGGGGCCATGCTGACCATGACCTGAGTAAGTTGGGGCACAGAGCTGGCGCCCCCGATGGCCTGGAGGACCTGGTGTCTTTTAGCCCACAACCTCAAGCTGGTCCCCAACATTAGAGACCCTGGGGCAGCCCAACAAAAGAAGCCAGCTGAAAGCGGGAAAACTATAATTCAAGTTTATTAGAGAGAGACCCTGTTACTACTTTTGAGGCAGAGAGAGACAGGTGGAAGAGAACAAGGGGATCTCAGGTCTCTGTGGGACAGTCCCTGACAGTCTCTGCAAGGAACTGTCGCCATCTGTGCCAACGGCACACCAGTGCTTCAAAGACAGCGTGTCTTCCTGGAGACCTTGGCTGTTGTCTGCCATTGTGTTGACCCTCTTGGTTTACTCGTTGATCCTCAATATGCAAAACTTGATCTCAGGCCAACTAGGGTCAGCAGGACCCCAAATTCTAAACCGAAGATAATAATAATCCTGTCCTATTAAGGGATGACCAATGGGGCTAGGAGCAGAGGGAAGTCACTGGGGGCAGCTCCCAAGGGACACCCACATTTCAGAGTTGACATCTGCAGCCATCCTGGCCAGGTTCCCCCTTCATGAGGGAAGTGACAGAGCAGCTTCTCCTGGGCATCTTCCTGTGTGAGGGTGGCCCCTTGGCCTTGGCTACTGTGGCTTTCACAGCAGGTACGAGTGGCTTGAGAAGGTCAGATAGACATCTACCCAGTGTCCCAGAAGCTTTACCATGGTCCTGTTAATGTGACTCTTGATGCATCTTCCAAGATGACATTTCAAGGCCCTGCAAGATCTTCAAGAAATTGCTTGGGCCCTCCTTTGCAGAGCTGTCTCTCTGCCTGGGGTGGAGCCAGGTCTCTTCTCTAAAATAGCTCATTTTCTGAGCAGCAGGAGCTATGAGGAAGCCAAGGATCCAGAGCTGCAGATTCTAGGTGAGGCTAGCTCCCGGCTTGCTGGATAGCAGAGTCCCCGTTCCAGAGCACGCATGGGCGCAGCTAGTTCTGAAGAAGGCAGTAGGAAAGAACGCTTCTGGCTATTCTAAGCTCTGCGTCCAGGGCTTACTGTGCCTGGGTGTGACATGGCTAGGGACCCCTAGATCTCTCTTGTGGCTGTCTCTGAATGCAGAAGTGCCTGCCTCTGGCTTGGGTGCGGGGCTGGTTCTGAAGGGCTCTGGGAGTTGGGGGTAAAGCTTAGCAGCTCAGCCCCGGCCCACTCTGCAGCACTGTGACTTCAACGCTCAGAGCAGTGGTCTCAGTGCCATCTTTGGCCCTGCCTCATGAACTCCATGGAGGACTCCATGCCAGACTAGCCAGGCAGCTTGTCAGGTGAGGCCTCAGTGTGGAATCTTATCAGGCCAGCTACACCTTGGCAACCTAGCCCTCCAGAAGGGGGCGCACTACTGGTCCTTCAACCCGCAAGCATCTCAGTTCACGGCTTAGCCCTTCTCTGACCAGGTGGTGGTTGGGGTGTGGTGGAGGCCTTCGCTGCTCTGACCAAGCTGTCCCCTCCTGAGGTGCTCTCTGAGCAAGCTATCTTGACTTAGCACTTGCCCTTGATGGATTTCAGAATCAGGTACATGGAGGTGCCAGGCAGGTCGGCTGGCAACCCCCTCAGTGCCCACTTGGGGCCTGGCGCGGAACAAGCCTCAGACTGACTTGCACGGTGGAGCACGCTTCATATTGCGTGTTCTCATGTCCTCATCTCGGACCTTTTTCTTGTGCTCACCGAGCAACAAGAGCTGGGACAGTTCACGCTGTGTTTGTTTGTCTTGAAAGTAGCCAGGTGGCAGACGGCCTCTTGGCAGTTGCAGGAATGCAGTGGGCTAGGGGTCAGGAGTTCTGGGCTGTCTGTCTATCCTGCCTTTCCGCACCTGTATTTGCTGTCCCACAAGAAAGAGCCAGCAGTGAAGAACAAGGCGGTGCGCTCTCGGGCCAGAGCCAGGACACAGGTTGAATGGGAGGCTGGAGCACCACCTGCCAGAGATGGACGGCGTCTGATACTCATGGGTCCCTAGGCCTTGGTCACTGCTGGAGGCTGGCCTGAGTTTGGTGAGCTGCCCACAGGGAGGCTGGGGACAGCAGAGGCACTGTGCCTAAGGATGGTGCCTTTTGCATAGAGCGAGGGAAGGAAAAATGGCTAGGACCATGATCTCTATGGAGCACCCCAGCCAGACTCCTCCTGGCCATGGTGGCACATCAGCGTGAGCTTGAGGAAGCCCTTGTCCCCGGCACAGGGGGCACACACTTCCTGCAGGCTGCTTCAGGTCCTGGAACACCCAGGGCAAACGTGTGGCAGTGCAGTGCCCTGCTCTGATGAGCCAGGGTCGCGTTCCCCCACCTCCCACACTGGGGTCCCTGGAAATAAAGTCAGCAAGGGCTGAACAGGACGCCTAGAGCCTCCCTCCTGTGCCTTTCCACGCTCTTCCACCCCTGAGGGTTCCACAGGCCACCAAGGCACCTGGGCATTCAGGTCTCTGTGCTCACCCAGCCTTCATTCAGGGGAGCAGGACCCAGGCCTGGGTTCACACCATCCCCTGGCCCCTCCCTGCCCCGCAGCAGACCCCGCCTTCTCCCCCCCTCCAGGGCCCTCAACAAAGCAATGGCAGGAGACACGTGGGGTGCGACCCATGTGCCTCCATCTACCTACGTGTGCAGTCCTTCTGGTTTGGGGCAAGGTCAAAGCCGGGCCTGCAGTCACAGGCCACCCCACCTTTGGGTGTCTCCCGGCAGATGTGGGCACAGCCATGGTCTTTGTTCATGCAGTTCATACCCTCTGGGAAGAAAGACAGACAAAAGAGGGGTTGGGGGCCAGGGAGACAGAGGGAGGGGTGACTTCAGGCTGGAAAAAGGCAGCCAACAAAGTGTCACATTCAAGCGGTCTCCGCTGCCTGCAACACAGGCACACAAACTCCCACACTCCACCTGCAGGCGTGTGCCCGCAGGAAGCTGTATGGTAATGACCCCCGGAGACCCAGCAGGTAAGCACCGGGTCCAGGTCAGGTTTCAGGGTGAACTGTGGAAAAGCTCCCGGGCCAGGGCTGCCAGCCCCTCCCTACCCAGTCTCCCCTCCCTGTCTGCCTCAATGTCTTGGACTGCTTTCCATTGACCCTAGTTGATGTTTATCTTCCTGGTGATTTGTGAGGAGTTTCTAGAAGTTATGAGGTCAGGGGTCAAGTGAGAGGTTGCGGGTCACAAGTCCAACAGAAAGCCCCAGGCAGATAAAAGGGTCCGGCCACGGTCTGGAGCTCTCTGGCTCTGTGACCAACCTTCCCTCTCTGCCCTCCAGGACGGTGCAGAGGGGACAGGACCCTGTAGGTGGGTGAGCTCACAGGGTGGCCTTTGTCCCAAGGAACACACTGTCCTCTTGCCCCATCTAGCTGAATCTTGGCTCTGGACACTGTAAATACTGCCAGGTGGTAGTGCAGGAACGCACTGAAAAATGCAAGGGCTGGGCATGGTGGTGCCCACCTATAATCCCAGCACTGGGGGGGCTGAGGCAGGAGGACCACCAGGAGTTCAGGGCCAGCCTACAATACATAGGGAAACTCCCCTAAAAGCAACAACAACAACAACAACAACAACAACAACAACAACAACAATAGCATCCCAAGGTCCCTGGTGGCTGTGACCGAGAGAAGGGTCTAGGGATGGAGCTGTAGCTCAGTGGTAGCATGGAAGAGGCCACAGGTTCCATCTGTAGCACCCCCTAAGTCTAAAGTCAAAATAAACTCCCTGCAGTGGAAATGAACGACACATGAGCCTGCACTGAGCTTGGCACCGTAACTCCTGGCTTCACCGAATTTTGCTGCTGACATTATTCACCTTGCATTTTCTCATGGAGTTAAATCAAACTGCTGTACCATGTAAGGTATAACTAACCAACCTGGGGCTAAATAAGCAAATTTTAACACTGCTGCTCCTCACGGGAAGCTCCGAGTCCGTAGTCACCGAGACTCTCCTCTCAGTGCCACCAAGACCAGGGTTTGTGGATCACTCAGACTGAGGGCTAACACCCACAGGTGGGCACAGGGCACATGAGTAGCCCCCACCAATTCCACGGCATGCAGCCTCCCACCTCAGCTGCTTCAAGCGACTGGGGAACCCTGAATGCCAGCGCTTGGCAAGTCAGGCCTCCCTGAGGCTGTGGGACCAGTACAACTGCAGCCTCCTGGAGCAGGTGTGCAGCTCCAGTGAAGTCACCGAGGCAGAAAGGGCAGGTATGGGCGACGGACAAGATGACATCTGACACTTTGTGCTGCCCCCTGCAGACCTAGGAAAGGTACTTCTCTGCTAGGACCCTGGCCAGATGGAGGAGCCTACCTTCCAACGTGGCTTTCTCAGGCCATGGAGACACACTCAGCCTCAGGGCTTCAGGGAAACTCTTACCCCAGCCAGGACTTGGCCGGTGGGTGCCAGCCAGTGGATGGCTTCCCTGAGTACCTTTAGCAGCTGCTCGACGGCGTACTCAGCTCAGGGTCGCCCTTCCTTCCCTACTCAGGTGGCTTGTGCAGTGCCCTAGTGCTCTGGCTTCTTAGGGTGGTCCCACCCGCTCTGCCCCTTGCCCGAGCTCCTGCTCCCCAGGCCTGCAAACCTGCAGTACCCATCAACCCTGCCCCCCTCCACCCCTTCCTGATACCCTCCCCCTGGTATCTTCCCCTGTCTTCCATAAACACATCCTAGGCATGTCTCAAATGCTACCAACTCCACAAAGCTTCCCGAATCTTAGATTATCCTCACAGCTTCCCCAAACCTCATTTCCCAGAGCTGGCCTGCCTCCGCCTCCCGCCCGGGGAGATTGGTGCTGTAAGCAGATCCGAGCTTCTTCCTCAACCAGGAAGAGCCCAGGGCCCCACTTAGCTCAGGCCTGCACCTCACGATGAAAGGGAGATTGAATTTCCATTTCCAGCCAAAGAATTACGATTTACGACTTACGAGAAGCCAGGCTCATCAACACTGGCTACCAATTTATCCCCAGGGAGCCGATGTGTCCCTGAGCTCTAGACTATGGAGCCTTAGGCCCTTCCCCTCTTGGAGGACGTGCCATCACCACCTTATTTGAGAGCATTTAGACTTTCCCAATATCCCAAGATGCTGAGCTGCTGTTTGGTGGCAAAGGTGAATCCGAGAGAGGAAGCCAGTATTACAGCAGGGTCGATGTGACACGGAGAGTCGGAGCCCAGTCCCCAGTCTCCACCCAAAGGAAGGCCTCACTTGAGTTCTCAGACAGCTACAGGGCCCCCCCAAGTCCAGAGGAGTATCCTTGCAGTTCTACCCAGAGGCAGGGTGCACAGCTGGCCTGAATGCTTCTGGAGCCTTGTGGACATAAATGGCATTGAATGCCACCTCCTCTAGGGATCACTCCAAACATGTCACAGCTGCCCAGCCTGGGGGTGAATGGGGCTCCCCTGTGATCACAGGCTCCTGGTCAGCCGCATTACTTCTAGGACCACTTCCTTGGGGACAGTAGTAGCTTCTGATGGCCAGGGGCAGACTGGCAGGACCCCGGGAGGTCAGGGCTGCACAGTTCTCACTGCCCCTGCCATCTGCCCATCCACCTGAGAAAGCAAATGAGCCTCCGAGGCAGGACTGAGGGGCCTGGCTCTACCCTCGTTCTCTGGGCCAACTATAAGAGCCACACCACACTCAGCCCAGACACCAAGTAGTGGACAGGGCGTCTGCCTGGAACTGCAGAGCCTTTCCCAGCAGCCTGAAGAGCGGGTGCCTGCCGGGTCAACGCTAATCAGATCGAACCTATGCAAATCCAATTATGCTCTGCAAACCTTAGCCGAGTGTCTCCCTGGTGCCCAGGGGCAGGCGGAGATACAAGGAGGCTTGGCTGTCTCCAGGCTAGGTCTACACTCCATCTTCTTCATGTGCTACATTGGTGTTGGTGGGAGCCACGGAAGGCAGGCAGCGGGCAAAGATATGAACGAGGCAGGAGGGTCTCTGGCTGTGGGGTGGAAGGCTCGGGAAGCATAGGGCTGTAGGCCAGGCCCAGGGGAGCCTGTGGTAGCACCCCAGTGGGAACCAACCAGCAGTTGTCAGGGCTGCGGCTGGGGAGAGGTGGGAGGCTGATGGGGACACATGTCAGAACCTCTTCCCTGGGGTTTCTGGAAGACATGACCAGAGACTGGGTCTCAATGACACTTTCTCTTCATTCAGCCCTCAGAGGCCTGATGAGTGGGTGTGGCCTGCAAAGGTGACCACACAGGGCGGGTTGCGTGGGGAGGGCGGTGCTTGGCCACAGAGGCCAGCCACCTGGGAGTGCCTTCCCCTCCCCAGGGCCTTGCCTCAGCCTGTGTTCTAGACTGGTCCTCTGACAGCCCCGCGGCTCCTCCCCACCAGAACCCGTTCTTTGACAACCTGTCCTGTTGGCCTCTGCCATGGGCGTACACAGAGAGGACCAAGGGCAGCCTGCCCTGTCCTCTGTGCCTCACACGGCAGCCTTGAAGGCCAGTGCGTCCATGAGGGATGGGGTGGGCTGGCCAGGATAACGAAGCAGGGATGTGAGGGCTGTTGCCATGGTGACTTCATCAATACCATCACTTTCTGCATCCCTGTCCCTTAAACATGCAGTAAGCTTGGCTGGGAAGGCAGAGTAGGAAAAAAGAACAATCGCTTGGCCTTGACTTGGGCCAAAGGGATTTTCCTCCCTTTCACCACATCAATAGAAATTGATAGGACCATGGAAGAGCCTGCAGCCTTGGGGGCAGGAGGAGGCCTGGGCCTCTCCAGCCCAGCGCAGCCCAGCAGGCAGGAAACACAAACACCAGTTCCCGTGAGCTTCCAAAGGGGTGGAAGAAAATGTCCGGATAGGCCTTGGAGTGGGCCACAGTGCCAATGGGGCAGTGTGAAGCTGTAAGGCAGGCCTGCAGGTGACTGGCCTGGCCACAAGCAGAGCTGCCGCCCCTGGGGAACCCCATGTCCACTGAATGTCTTAATAAATAAGCCGGAGGCTTCAGGATGTGTCTCACAGTGGACACTGTACCCCCACTCCCTGGGTGCGCAGCATGGGACAAGGACCGTTCTCTCACTCGCTGTGCACCTTGCTGAGCACCCACTGCACGGCTCCTTTCCAGGGCCACTGTGTCCCAGGTGGACAGGCACCTCAAGCACATGTGGACATGTGACAGTGAGACTGTGAGGGTACCTGGTGGTCCAGGGGACAATGGAGTGTGGGATTCTGCTTTCTGGGAAGCAGGCGCGGACCCCAGCCTAGGACCTCTATGGCTTGACAAGGGGCAAGTGAGGGCTATATGCCAGGCCTGACCCAGAACTGCCCTTGCAGTGGCTTTCAGGAGATTACAGCATGTCCCTGAACAAAGAGAGGGCAGCGAAGTCCCGGCTCGCCCCTGTTATCCCTTCACTTCATATTTCCTTCTAGTGAACCACAGGGTCCTCAGCTGCCTGTTCCCCTGGTGACGACCATGTTTCCCAGCTCTCTGCAAGGCCATCTCTAAGGCAGCTTTGCCAGGATGCCCCAGTTCTGACCCTGCCATATCCCCATCAGGAGCCAGGTCTCTGGACTCCTCAGAACCCCCGAGAGCTGTAGGAGGGCCAGAGCCTGCCCTTTCACCTCACACTCCAGCTGCAGAGGAAGCTTTCCAGAGCATGGAGTTGATGGTGTCTCCCCACCACACAAGACCCAGTGCCTGCTGCCCCCACGCGTTGCCTCTGCCATGTGTCTCCCCCTGCCACCCAAGTCCTAGGGCTGCTGGATGCAGGGTGCTTGCACCTGCCTGCCGGTTGGGTGGGCTTGGTCTGCCCCCCCCC